AGGTAAGTAAACAGGGACACGAATTAACAACAGTATTCTTAGACAAATAGTGACATAGAGTAGAGCTAGTATTTCAGGAAGGTAAACGAGTTCGACATGATGAGAATGCTGTGGGTGTGATTTCTTTCACTGTTTATCATCCAGCATCATGACAGACCTGATGGCTGGTGAGCTAGAGTGATTTTCATTCTCCCCATGCTAGGATAACCTCCCCTTGCCTGTTCCCCAGCTCCCTTCCCCTCCGTTGTGTTTAATCTACTTAAAGTTTAGGGCACTTCTTTCTCTGATCCAAGCCTTGCTAAGTCTTTGTTTTCCCTCCAGTCATTCCTTATCACATGTCCATCCATGCTCTTTCTTCAGAGTATATATATATAAAAAAAAAGATGACTAATTCCAGTAACCCATTTCTGGCTTCCCACTGCCTTGGTGTAAATCAGGGAGAATATTTCCTGACCTCCTTAGAAAAAGAAAATGGAAAAAAAAAGCATTTGTAATCCAAATAATATCACTTTGTACACATGAAATGAGGTGGAAACAAACAAAACAAAACATACCAAAAGCAAAAACCTTGCATTCTAAAACTGGGACAAATGATTCTTCCGAATGAACTCTCTTCTTCAGAGTGGTTCCCTCTGAACTCATAAGACATAACCCATAATACAGTGATGCTGTTTTGACCCAAAAGGTGTTGGGATTTCTTCTTTGAAAAGGCTTTTAAGGACCTTGTTGCAAATACTAACTCTTACGGCAAATATCTTTCTACTTCTTGACTTTTAATTTAATATTGTTTGTAATTTTTGACATACAGATGGTCTAAATGCTTATGCAGATACATCTATATATCTTGTATTTCGTAGCTTTTTTCCCACTCAAAATCCCTTATTTAAGGGACTCATATTTTCTTTTAGTTCTTTCACGGTTTCGTTTTTACATTTGTCCCTTTGATCCATCTGGGATGTATTTCAGTAAATTGTATGAAGTGAGCATCTAATCGACTAAATTACTGGCCAGTTTTGAATAATCTATGTCCTCCTCGCTGGTGATACTTCATTTATTGGCATATTAAATTTTCTTTCAGGGCTTTTTCTGAACTATTAATCTATTTGTCAAGCTTTTCTCAGTAGTTCAAAATCATTGTAATTATTGTGGCTTTATAACATGTATTAACATCTGGTACAGTGACTCTCCTATTATCGTTCTTCCTTTTCAAAAGTATTCTGGCTACTCTCCTGCTTTTTCTTCCAAACGGAAATTAATTTTTTTCAACTTAAAAAAAATCTTATTAGAATTTGGGTTAAAATCACAAACAAAGGACTAGATACATTTATCTAGAAGCATAACAGATTTCTCAATCTATTTAAATCTTTTTGCTTTCATGCTTTTTCTCTTCTCTCTTTTTTTGTATCAATCCCTTCCAGGTGTTGCCAATATTATTTATATTTTAATAGAATCTTTAAAAAATACATATTTCCCTACAGGTTATTACTGGATCTGGAAAAGTTACTGGTTTTTAATAGTTATTTTATAATAGCTTTTTAATCGTGTCTTGAGTTTTCTAGGCAAAAGTATCTGCAAATAAAGGTAACTTTTCTTCTGCCTTCAATATTTTACCTATTTCTGTTTCTTGTCAGAATTATTTCAGCATAATTTTAAAGGATAGTACTGATAGCGGGCATCTTTATACCTGATTTTAATGAGAATGTCTCTCCTGTCATATCATTGAGTATGGAAATTTAAAAATACACATGAAAGTAGATTGAATAGTAAAATGAACTCTCACGTGCTCATCACCTACCCTCAACGATTATCGATATTTTTGCAAACATTTTTAGAGGGATTATAAATTAACCCAGACTAATTTTTAGATGCTAATTTGGAAATATCTATTCAGAAATGGATCCAGCAATTCCATTGCTAGGCATTAATCCTATACTCAAGGATACTCAGTGTAACTGTATAGAATTGCAGAAAACTAGAAAATGTTCCCCAATAGGGGAGTGAAAAATTATGGTGCATTCATATAATATGTGAACTGCTACATAATTCACATATTCATATAATAAGTTATGAAAATTTTTGGTAGATCTATGTGCTGATATGGGAAGGTGTCCAAGTTATTGTATACAATGAAAAAAATCAAGTGCAGAACAGTACGTATAGTAAGATTCTATTTGTTTTTTTCAAAGGGATGGTCATGCTTTTATGTTCATGGAAGATTTCTGGAAGGACATGTAAGAAACTGTTAATGAAGGTTATGTCTGGGAAGGAGAATAAGGAGTGATGATGGGAGGGTGAGGAATTACTATACACTTTCTCTTCTTCCTTACAGTTTGGCTGTCTTACCATTAGCATTATTATTTTTATAGAACCTTATTAAAATATATGATGCTGGCTATTGGTTTAATATTTACTAAGAGGTCTTTTAAAAAATTTAGTTGTTGTAACCAGGAGTAGGTGTTAGATTTTTATCATCTATTGAGATAACAAAGTTTTTTCTTATATGGCCTAAATGTATGATTTGTTATTTCAATTATTTTCCCATTATTAAAATATCTTGGCATTTCTAGGATAAAAGCTACTTGATCATGTTAAAAATTACTTATTTCATTGAATGTAATTTGCTGATAGTTCTGGGGGGAATTCTGGCATTTGATTTCTTATGTGACTTCATATTTTTTGGCTATTCTTTTTGTACCACAGTTGATAGGTTTTATAATAATTATATTTGCTTCATAAAATGGATTAAACTTTAATATATTTATGCATGCAGAAAGGGAATTACATGTCCTTCAAAATTTCCAAGAATTTGCCTATAAAATCTCTAGGGTGAGCCTTTTTTGACTTCTTCTCTAGTTTTGATCTACTTAGTTTTTCTAACTTCTTCTTGATTAAATTTGGGTGATTTATGTTTTTCCTGGAAAAAACATATATTGGCATATAGCTAACTATACATTGTATTCTCATATAATCCCCTCAGACTTCTCCATATCTGTTGTCTCCTTTCTCCTTTATAATTTTATTTATATTTTCTTTTTTTAATTAAATAGATTTGCCAGATATTTCTCTACTTTATTTTTTTCCAAAGAATTACTTTTGGAATTGATCAATAATTGTGTTTTTTGTTTTCTCATTCATTAATTTCTGCTTCAATCTTTTCCTTAATTCTCCTTTTCTAAGAGTTTAATTTTTTAAAAAGTATCACTCCATTCACTTATTATTTTTTCGTGTTCAGTTTTCTCCTGCTAAACAATGTTCCTCAGCTTGGTCTGGTTTCAAATGACTGTAGAGTTATTTCTAAAAATTAAATCCACTCTCAAAAGAGAAAGATTTGGGCTTCCCTGGTGGCGCAGTGGTTGAAAGTCCGCCTGCCGATGCAGGGGACACGGGTTCATGCCCCGGTCTGGGAAGATCCCACATGCCACGGAGCAGCTGGGCCCGTGAGCCATGACCGCTGAGCCTGCGCGTCCGGAGCCTGTGCTCCGCAACGGGAGAGGCCACAACAGTAAGAGGCCCACATACCGCAAAAAACAAAAAAAAACAAAAAAAAAAAGAGAAAGATTTGCTATCACTGATGATGTTATTTAAAAGAAAGTGACTCAGTCTCTTTCAGAACTCTAAAGAATTCTAAAAATGTTTGAGTAACGACAACTGCAGCAAAGCTTATGACCTATACTGAAAAGGCCAAGACCTATTTGTATATATAAAACCTAGAACGTTATCTGCCCTCATATATTCGGAAAGAATCAAGTGCTAGAATTTAAAGAAAAGCTCTCACATTTGCTTAATGGGATGTCCTCTGATACCGCATGTCTATAACCTAAGATATTAAAAAATTTTTTTTCTTTCTGTGAAAATTTATTTAAATGCATTATGTGTACAGCCTGGCTTTGTGTTTGTCTGTGATTGAAATTAACCCCAGATAAAACATTTTTCAAATGTAAAGATTAAAAATTGTTCACATGATAGGATGACAAAGTTTTCTCTGCAAAAATCAATTCATTATGATGATGTAGATAAGGCAGAACATGTTTTTAAAAATAACTTTTAAATGCTCTGGTACACCATATTATAAACAATAAAAATGTCTCTAGTAAAAAAAGTATATTGTGCCAACAGAAAGGTAGATTTGCAGGTGTGACCTCTGCCAGCACATGTAGCAGATCATCATCAGAGCCACATGTTTGTAGATTATGTAACAGTGTTTAAGTGGCCAGGAAAGGGAGGATTTTGTGGTCAAGAAAGTGGAAATGTCCTATTTAACATATGACCCTGGCCAGTCTCATCTCAAATTACTGTTGATCAAGTTACAGATGGTTGGCAAGCCAAGTGGGAGGGAAGAAAAAGGTCTGACAACCCTGCAATAAACAGGAGGCCACAAAGCCAGTGGCTGTTATCATTAAAAATACAAACTTACTCGTCTTCAATATTTAAAGTAATGCAAAGAAAAATTGTTTTGCAAAGCATTCAGGAACAGATGTTTCTGTAAGTGGCTTTAACATATCCTTCCCTAATAATAAGATTTTAGCAAAGATAGAACATGGCTTTATGAATGAACCAAAAAACATAAGCAGACCCCCCCGACAAAATGACAGCTTTATGATCATGACTGAAAAGGATTTTCTTGGGTTTGCACTCACATGCATCTCAAGTTTTTTAAGCTTCCAAATGTTCAAAACATACAAGTGCCTGTGCTCTAGGAACTTACTCTTGAGAGGAAACACCACTAGGAACTTATAAATGGAAAAACAAATTTTTTCATCTCTACTAACTCACACAGAGGTATGTGTATATAAATGTATGTACTTAGTATTGGTTTCAGCTGGTTGCTTTTTCAAGTAGCAGTTCAGGGCTAATAGGACAGTACGCCAGAGCCAAAAAGAACCTTAATTTTGTTTGCTATTGTGGCTGTGAAATTTTCAGTAAAGCACAGAGTGAAAGACCAAAGGCTGCTAAAGGATTACCTAGAAAGCAGAGCCTGAGGCCAAGTTTAAGCGCTAAGATTTTATTAGGAGGTGCAATTCCAGGGCAGCAAGGGTGAGGGGAAAGGCAAAGGAAAGCAAATGGAAAGCGGTGCTTCACGAGAGAAGTACAGCTGATTGCTCAGTCCCCAGGGACACCTTCCCGACAAGCCATGCAGAACCATCACGCCTTGGGACCAGCTGCCTATGGAGAAAAGGGGAGAGGAGTTTATATGTTTCCTACTTCTTGCTCTCTGCCCTCTTAGGTTGTCCTCTGTGGTGTAAGTTTGCCTCGTGGGGCTCCAATGCCCCACTCTTCTGGGCGTGTCTTCTGACCCTCCCAGCAATTGCCAAGGAGACAAGAAGAAGCTGAACCTCAGGGTTTTTCACCTGAGTCTGGGACTGGTGGGAGGAGCCAGTGCCTCCGACCGACCGACCGTCAGGATCGGACTGCGGGGGAGACGGCGCTGAAGCCTGACCCTCACCCACGGGGAGGCTGTTCTGAGAGGAAACCACAGCAGTGGAGTCCAGGTCTCCGCACCGAGCTAGAGGTTAAGATGAGGGTGGAGGTGGGACTGAGCAAAGCGGCGAGGCGCACAAGCTGGGTCTGGTACCGTGCCTCCTTCGAGAGCCAGAGCTGGTCCTGTGCTGATGTTCACTCACTCCTAGGGGAGGAGGAGCCACTCAGTCCAGAGATTGCACGCGTTCAGCTCTCATATTTTGTAAATGTAATTATTTTCCACCAAACGGTCCCATGTTCCTCGACTACCCTTACCCACTACTTTAACTCTCCCCCCGCCCAAGATCGTTTGAGGTGTAATTTGAGTGTAATAAAATCCACCCATGTGAAGGTGCAGAGCGTTGAATTTTGCACACGTCCTCAACATCCACTCCCATCAAGGCGTGGAATTGCGCCATCACGCCCACAGTTCCTTCCTGCTCCTCTGCCTCCCATCCTCTCGCCTCTTTCATCTCCACAGTTTTGCTTCTTCTACAATTTCAGATAAACGCAGTCGGACACGCTAAGGTCTTCCGCGTTTACCTCTCCTCCCGCCCCCAGCATAATGTGTTTTTAGATCCATCCGCGTTGCCGTATGTATTAATACTGGGTCCCTTTTCACTGCTCGCTGTTGGAGAACTTCACTGTGGGTGCTGAACGCCGGGCGTTTTACCTGCATTCGCTCACTGGGAGCCCTCACAACCACCCTACTTCCCAGCACAGGGACACGAGGCTGGCGGCGCCCGGCGGGGGAGCTTGGGAGGGGGCTCCGGGCCGACCCCGGCCAGTCAGGCTGCCACGCTCGCCGCGGTCCGGGGCCCGACTTGCGGCACCTGCTGTCCGGCTGGAGAGGGGGACAGCGGGCCCGGCCGTGTACAGCCGCGGGCCAGACAAACCCCCACTCCCGGGACGGAGGCCCTGCCAGGGCGCCCGTAAGGCCGGAGAGGCCGTACCCCTCCAGCCGCCGGCCTCCAGGGCCGCCTGCTCTCGAGGGACGGCCCGGGGGCTCCGGCCACCAGCACAGGCTGGGCCGCGGGCGGTCGACGCGCACGAGCGCGAGGAAGCCGCGTTTCCGCGGACGCGTCACGACGGCCGGGCGTCTCACCGCGCGCCGTTTCCCTCCGCGCGGACGGCACTACTTCCCGCGGGGCCGGAGGAGTAGTGTCGTGGACGAGGGGAGCGCGGGCTCGGCTGGTGCCCGCTGCGGCCCGGGAGAAGCCGCCCCGTCCCTGCTGCTGCAAAGCAACGAGCGGGAAGAGTGGTCCCGAGTCGTTTTCTCCTTCTCCGCGCCCTCCTCGCTACGACAGCCCGCGGAGACCGGGTTTGAAGGACAGGGTGGAAACAAAGATGCCGGTCCTCTGCCCTTTGGCAAGGCGCGGCCTGGCCGCCGCTATTGTCTGGCTGCCTGACGGAGAGCAGCGGCTCTCTTTTTCTTCTGCCGAACGTGGTGCCCCTTCGGCGTCAGCGGAGGGACTGACGAGGAGGCTTTGTCTGCGGGAAAAGAGCTGTGGCGAAGCGGCGCCCCCGTAATGGCCGCCGGGCCGCTCTCCGCGGGCTCTGCTGGCGATGTTTTCCGTGTCAGTTAAACCCGGGAAAGTCTGCTTTTTCCTTCCTGACATTTTCATTCTGATTAGAGTCTTGGAGTTTGAGGACTGCCCTCCGCCTAAACTGACTCCATCTCCTTTAGCGATTCTGAAACCTGATGAGACCTCCTCTGTGGACTCTTAGCGCACATCTTTTCTTTTGCTCCCTCAGAAAGAATTGAATTGGGAAACCGTGGAGGTGGGCGAGGCTCACCCGGGCTTACAGTCCTGAGATGTGTTTGCTGAGTCCACCCTGGTGCCTCAGACGCAGGCCTCAGGAGACGGCTGTGCGGGTTAAAGTTATCTGGGGATCCCGTTAGTCTGTGTTTTTTTAATGAAAATCCAGGGAAACTGCCTGACCAGAGAAGGTGGAGGCAGCTGAGCCTCAGAAAGGGGCTTCCAGTCCGCTGCGAAGGCGTCTATTGTTTGGTTACGCGACAGCCCTCAGTGACGGAAGAGAGGGCAGGAGGGTATTTTTTGAGAGCACCGAAGTCCAGCTTGGGCTCGCAGCTTGTGACTGCTGATCTCCCCTTTTGTTTCCCTTCGTAGCCTTTCTTGCCACCTGCTAGACGTTGCATATTTTACATACTTATTGTTTGGCTTCTCTCCGCCACTTGATCTAAACCTGGGAGAGCCCGGAGGTGTTTTGTTCACTGGGGTTCCCTGGAGCCTAGCACAGTGCCTGGCAAAGTACTGGCGGGGCGGGGGGGGGGGGGGACTTCGTAAATAGTTACTGACTCAGTGAATGAAAAACACACATGGCACATTATTTAAAGGCACCGTGAGAGAAGCACGAAAACGAAAGCGACGTGACACAAGAAAAATTGATCTCTTCAGACCTGCTCTTTTCGTTTCGGAGCAATCATGGGTGAGGAATAGCCAAGAGATAGTGATACCCCACTATTACGTTTTCCAAAGGAGAATAATGAAAGAAGTGAGCTTTTATGTCTAGGGTGCTTTCCACTTCATTCTAGAGATTAATTCTCTGAGGTGAGCCCAACAAAAATCTATGAGGAAAATGGAAGTCCTTTTTTTCTTTTTTACTAGTCGTAGGTGACCCTCGGACACATGCTCAACCCCATCTGGGAGTTTAGGTGGCCCGTCATGAGCAAGACATGGGGCTTTGGGACATTCAGAACACAAGACGGACATCGGTGAGCCCCACGTAACTATTTTTCTGTGCTGGACCCACAATGTCATGTCTAGTACATGAAGACACACCTGGGGAGTGTGTTTCACATGAAAATTAGCTGGCTAAGTCCTGCTCTCTGAACACTCTTTCATCCCCACAGGATGCTGATGCATAAATGATGGATTAGTTTTGAAGGAAGTGAAAATGGGGTGTTTTGAAAGTGAAGAGGATCAGAACAGCCAGCTGCTCTAAGGAATTACCCCTGTCTCAACCTCCGTTTCTTTGGAACTTTTGGTTGGGAAAGAGCCACACCTTGGCCAGGAAAGTTTATAATATATGTCAAAGTATACCTGACAGATTGGAAAGTCCTTCACACAAAAAAATAAGTTTAAGATCGCATATATTAATGCCTCAACCAACCAGTAATCATATCATCCTGGTATGCAAAACTGGAGGTATCCTGTAAGATCATTCATTCATTCAACAAGTATACTATATTTATTATTATGTGTCATGCCTTGTTCTAGATGCTGCAGTGGAAAAAAAAAAAAGACAAAAATCCCTTTCCTGTTTTATATTGTTCTACTCCCAGACCCCTTCCATCTTTTCACTACATCTTTTTTCTTTACTTGTTTTCACCTTTCATTTGCCATCTACTTTACTACTTTTTTCAAAACATTTCTATTTTCTGCCCCTCACTTCATCCAAAATACGAACATATCAAATAAAAATACATGATGAAATACATTTTAAAAATCAAGTCTTTTTAAAAACCTAACTTTTTACCGAAAAGAATTCATTTCTAAAATTTTCCTTTTATGGCTATAACTTTTAAAAGTTTAAAAATGATTTTCCTGGTTTCCTTCAGTTGGCTATTGTATAAGTGAAGATAATTACTATTCAGTCAGCTTTCACCCTTCCATGAGAATGTTTCCTTCACCCAGCCTTTGCCTGACCATACTAATCTTACAATAAATCATACAATAAAACATTATGTGGAGAATAGCAATATTAAACTTAAAAATAGAGGTGTTTCTTTTCCAGATTTTTTTAAAAGGAGTAAACTGAATGTTGGCTTAGAGATTTGGAATATAAACGTGCAACAAGTTTCTAGTGCACAACACAGTACCAGAAGGAATTTCCTTAGTTGTACTAACTCTACCCTTTTTCAGCAGTTTTCTCTAAATTTTCTCCCTTTGATTCAATCCAAAATGCTCACTGACCCAAACGTTTCCTGAAGACCGTGGCTTAACTGCAATACTTCCCTTTCCCCGTTTCACATTTAAATCTGTTAACGTTTCAAACTTGCTTAAACATTCTTTTGAACAATCCCTATATTCCTGCTCATTCCCTTCAGCCTGAACTGAGGAAGCAGACCTCTCTGTCCTCCCTCACCTCCCCCAATCCCCACTGCCAACCCCCAACTGCTCAAGCCTGGGGGTTAGAGCTGCATTACCCAACACGCTAGTGATTCTCAATCCTGGTTGGCATATTAGAATCAGACTTTTAAAAAGTACTGACTTCTTGGGCCTACCCCTGACCAATGAGATTAGAATCTGTGGAGTTAGAGTCCCAGCATTAGTATTTTTATAAAGCTCTCAAGGAGATTCTAATGAAAGCTAGTTTGAGAAACAGCGCAGTGGGCAGCTCAAGCATCTGTCCAAGGCAGCCACTCTCAAACTTCAGTGCTTCAGACACCTGAAAGGGCTTGTTAAAACGCAGATTGCGAGGTCCTGCACCCTGAGTTTCTGATTCAGTAAATTAGGGGTTGGGGCAGAGAATTAGCATTTCTAACAAGTTCCCCGGTGATGCCGCTCTACTGCTGGTTCAGGGATTACTTTCAGAACCACTGTCCTAGGACACCGAGGAAAACAGGGGCACCAAGAAAAAATAAGGGGAAAAAAAACCCAGATGGATTGTATCTGATAGTTCAAACGAAGCTTCTAAGTAACTATCATGGTGCAAATCAGAAACTTTCTGAGTTTCTTTACCTTTATTTTATGGCTAGTATGATTTTTGATTTAGAGTTGTACTTGGGGAGATAGGACTCCCATAATTCTTTCTTTGCTAGAAGTGACTTCTAAAAGTCTTAAGTCCTACAGTTAAGTACCCCACAAGCCAATGCATCTCTTCATGTAAACCGCAGCTTTCACCCTTCCATGAGAATGTTTCCTTCACCAGGTTTTCTCTTACCATAATGAGTCATAGCCCGCCATAAAGCATTTACGGAGAGTAGCAAAGTAAAATGCGCGCGCGCGCACACACACACACCCCCCTCACTTTTCCCGACAAAAAGCTGTAAGGCTGAAATAGTATTTATCTTGTCTTCCAGGTGATAGTATCTTGCATGTTCAACCCTGTGACAGAGAACTTGACCCATGGAGGGCATGCAAATGTCATTGCAAGAGGACCTGTCAGAGTTATGGAAATGAAAGGTACTTTTACCTTTGAATAACTCTTCCATCTGTTTTTGCACTTTATCTTCTGTCTACCAGCACATGAGATATTTCTACTTTATATGGAGAATATCAGGTGCAGGAAGCTTTTAAACTTGCCCAGAACCATACAGCTCATTTGGTCTGAAGTGAGAGCTCTTTGCTCCCAAACTCTGCATTCTTTTCTCTAGAATATGCTGTAATTCAAATGCCAGAACACTGGATCTGAAGGAAAGAGGGAAAGAATCTGAGATTTTTTTTATCACGTAGAAGTGTAATCTAAGAAAAACACCCTACATTTTTCAAGTCCATGTAAGTAACAGGGTTAATATGTAGTTAGAAAGAATTTAGATGCAATTTATGATACCTTAGGGAAGAACAATCTGAAACGGGAGTAAGATGATAATGTGGATGAACCTTGAGGGCAATATGTTAAGTGAAATAAGTTAGAAAGAGAAAGACAAATACTATATGATTTCATTTATATGCGGAATCTTTAAAAAGCAAAGAAACAAACAAAAACCAACCTCATGGAGACAGAGAACAAATTGGTTGCCATTGGTGGAGGATGGGGGAGTGTGAGAAATGGGTTAAGGAGATCAAAAGGTATAAACTTCCAGTTATAAAGTAATTGTCAGGGGTTGTAATGTACAGCATGGTGACCATAGTTAATTGTACTGTATTACATATTTAACGGTTGCTAAATAGTAAATCTTTAAAGTTTTCATCAAAAGAAAAGAATTCTATACTGTGTGGTAACGGATGTTAACTAGATTTATTGTGGTGATCATTTCACAATATATACAAATATGGAATTATTATATTGTACATCTGAAACTAATATAATGTTGTTTGCCAAATATGCCTCAATTAGGAAGAGAGAAGGAAAGAAAGAAAAAAGAAAGAAAGAAAGGGGGGAGGGATGGAGGAAGGAAGGAAGAAAGGGGAGTAAGAGAAGTAGAAAAGATTTAAGGTAAAACACTGGTATGGTTAGCTAATAGTCCTAGAGCCTGAAAGAGGGGCTTACCTGGTGGCGCAGTGGTTGAGAGTCCGCCTGCCAATGCAGGGGACACGGGTTTGTGCTTCGGTCCGGGAAGATCCCACATGCCGCGGAGCGGCTGGGCCCGTGAGCCATGGGAGCTGAGCCTGCACGACCGGAGCCTGTGCTCCGCAACAGGAGAGGCCACAACAGTGAGAGGCCCGCCTACTGCAAAAAAAAAAAAAAAAAACAGGGCAGAAGACTCATTTTTTCAGTTAACTACTGTTGTGTTACAAGCCGCCTCCAAATTTAGTGACTTAAACAAAGACCGTTTTACTTGCTCATGATTCTTTGGGTTAGGAATTCAGGCAGGGCTCAGTGAGGATGGCTCTTCTCTGTTCCATTTCCTCTTGACTGGAGTACCTCAGCTGGAGGATCCAGGGTGATCTCATCCACTTGTCTGGGCCTTGGCGCTGATACCTGGGTGGGG